ATGTGTAGATTCTGATGCGGTTTCCAACCATTGCCAGGTCTCACATACATAATTCCATTCATGAGCTCGTGGTTCTCAGCTGGTTCCTGCAAACACTTTCTTTATATCGGAAAATCCTTGAACTTTCCAAATGAGTGTTTTTTACTCTAACCCAACCTGGAGATAGAACTGGTTGCATGGGAAGGCAAGGATTGTGAAGCCACCATTTGCATTCTTCTCAATCAGTGGATTAAAGTCGGTGTATTGTTGGGTGTAAGCTAGAATCAGGAACTATAACCATTGTAAGTAGTAAACAGGTTTCTCTACTCTGCCAATCTCGATGGTCACAAGTTCAAAGTGTTTACAGTCCGCATTGGCAGAAAATCACTAAGAACGTGATAAATACGCTCGACATTGGTTAAAACAAAAAGAACGAGTCGAGAGGCTGCACAGAAGAAAGAGAAAATTCTTCGTAGTTTGTAAGTTTTGCAGAAAGGCAGCTTTTTATGCGCTAGAAAGATTATGAGACAGTTACGGTAAAGAAACCTACCACAGAATGTAGCTACGTTGATAATCAGTAGTACTTGTCCTCTGTATTGCGAGAGGTCTGTGAATTGACCTTGGAGGGTCTCCATCTCAAATAGATACAAAATAGATATTAAATTCGATAGACAGTTACAAACTTTTGATTTCTACTTTTTCTACTTTCATACCTGAAAATCATAAATCGACTGGTTCACATCTTTACACTGACTCCATCGCGTCGTCTCGTCGATCATCTTTGGCCCTGAAAGCGAGACATTTAGCAGAAAGGTGCTACAGTTATGCAACTAAGAAACCAATAAAAATAATAAGACTCGGAAAAACGTGTGAATTAAGTGTGAAGCGGCGTAATAACCAATAGTAAAGTGATACATACCCGGCTGGGCGACAACGACGGAAGCCGCGATGATGCAGAAGAGAATCGGAGAGAGCATGATCAGCGTTTCCCCACCTCGATCACCTCCTTATATATTGCCCCTGCGCGTAGTTAGACGACAGTAAGAGAGCGGGGCGGTACCGGAGGCCAAGACACCACACACACACATACGACCACGCAGATACACACACATACAGAGTCTTTTTGAACAAACACACATCGTACTTGTCAAGAAGATTCACTTCGGTAAGGTTTGGTTTTCCAAATAATATGTGGACAGCAATTTGTTCTTCTGATGCAGAAATTCATGAGAAAGCCTCAGATTCGAAACGTGCGTGCAGTTGGAATTCACTGACATCCTAATTTGCTGAGAAATCTGGCCGGAAGCTAGATATAAAA